AGCTCCCTTTAGATACTGGAAGGTTGCTAATAGGTTTCCCTGGAGCCTTCTCCAGGCTGAAAAATTCCAGATCTCTCAGCCTGTCTTCACAGGAGAGGTGTTCTAGCCCTTTGATCATTGTTGTGGCCCTCCTCTGAATCCACTCCAAGAACTCCATGTTCTTGTTTCCTTAGGGGTCCCAGACCAAGACACAGCACTCCAGACTGGGTCTCACCAGAGCAGAGCAGAGGGGCAGAATCCTCTCCTCACCCTGCTGGCCACACTGCATGACCTATTGGTGAAGAACCTGGGAGTCTTGGTGGGTGACCAGCTGACTATGAGCTGGCAGTGCCCTTACAGCCAGGAGGGCCAATATTATCCTGCGGTGCATTGGGAAGAGTGTGGCCAAAGGCTAGGGGAGGAGATCCTGCCCCTCAGCCCTGGTGAGGCCACATCTGCAGTGCTGTGTCCAGTTCTGAGTAGTTCTGGACTACTCAGTACAGCAAAGAGGTATAAATATCTCAAAGGCAGGTGCCAAGAGGATGGTGCCAGACTCTTTTCAGTGGTGCCCGGTGACAGGACATGGAGCAATGGCCATAAACTAGAAACAAAGTTCCACTTCAGCATGAGGAAGAGCTTTTATATGCTGAGGGTAGCAGAGCACTGGAACAGGCTGCTCAGGGAGATCATGGAGTCTCCCTGGCTGGTGACATTCAAACCCCACCCTGTGTCACCAGCTCTAGGTGACCCTGCCTTGGCCACTCTGTGTCACCAGCTGTAGATGACCCTGCCTTGGCAGGAGTTTGGACCAGATGATCTCTAAAGGTCTCTTCCAACCCTAAGGATTCTGCCATTCTGTGAAGTCTTTCTTCTCAGGTCTGCTCTTAATCCGTTCTCCTCCCAGCCTGTGTTTGTGCTTGTGATCGCCCTGAGGCAACATGAGGCAATGTGACCAGAAACTACTTGGCCTTTGGTTCCACTTAGGAGCCACTTGTGCACTTATTTTTGGAAATTTTAGATGGACCATTGCAGGCCTAACTTAAAGAAGCTTCTCATAACCCTCTCACTGTGTTTGCCTAAGTAAGGATTCCAGGACATGGCAAGAAATTTTACGAAAGTGAAACCTTTTTCAGTGTTGTCTGTATCCCAGTGTTTGGGTTTTTTTGTAATACATCAGAAAAATATGCTTATGATTAATAGATGTCTACCATTTTTTTTTCTCCTGATTTAGTTTTGTAATGCAAAAATATTTAAAATATTTTAAATGTTGGAGCCATAAAATATGCTGCATTATTTAAAATACTGACACTGTCACCAGTTTTGAAATATTGAGGACCAGTCCTGTCCTAGAGGACTTTCTCACTTCTAATTATTTGCACAAAACTCCTCTTTAAACCACTGTACTCACTAAAAGCACAGAAAAAATATTCAAGCTTAGATATTAAAATATAAATCCTCCAGATTTTCATCAAAAATATGAGACAGGGTTCTTTAAGGACCCCAAAATTCCTGGATGAAATTCATCATGTGTCAGTAAAGACAACACCATTTCCTGCAAGCTGAATTTAGTGATTGACATCTGTATCTTCAACTGCCTGTGTCTCAAATAATGCTGATATTGTTATTAAACTAGGTTGTGCCAGAGTCAAGGGATAGTGGCAGCAAACCTGACTTGTACCTCATGGGATCCAGTAGGAAATACATAATGCATCCCAAAAGTGACCCTGTAACAGGTATCCAGTCATTGGGTGCTGGGCTTGTCCCAAGGCGGTGAATGAAATGAGCCATCTCTGCTGCTCTTTGCCCTGAGGCTAACAAGCACAGCACAGCTATAGGGTAAGCTAAACTGCCTTCTTGTCTGAACAGTGTGCTTGCACTCAAAATGCCTTTTGGTCCTTGTCCTGTGCTAATTCCCAGCCGTAGCTGGGCAGTGTATGGAAGCCTTTGACTTTTTTTTTTTTTGAGTTTAGGCCAAAACACTGCCAGAGCACAGTTACAGTCGTGTTCCTGGTTCTAGTAGTGCTCCTTTACCTGTGGCAAATTCATATCCCTCTTTAGGTCTACTAACCAGCATGCAAGACAAGATCACTGAGCTGACTTGTCCCTGAACTCTTCCATCTCCCATATGCAAGACAACGACTTAGATCCCTAGAAAGAACAGCACTTGCCCCCTTATATGGTGTGCATAACACATGCTGGGAAACGGTGGGGGATGTTTCAGCAGTACATGGTTTCGTCTGTAGGCACTACCATTCTGGCAGAAACACTGCAGTCTGACTTCCCACGCTTTGCTTTAAGATACGTTAGTGGGAGAAGGCTGAATGTTGGCAGCCCAGTCTGTGCATCAAGGCCAGGGGTGACTGTAGGCCCTCCATTCTCTAGTGCCTGTGAGCACTAAAGCCAAAAAGAAACTTCAGAGAATAAAACCATTTTTTTCCCTTAAATAGCACATGTAGCTGTGAGAAAATTTGGGTTCAACTTCTCAAGAGCATATATCCTCTTGTCGGCAGTCCCATATACATCTACTGGGGAAAGAGTAACTTCGTAATGTCTGCTTCTTAAAAGAACAGCAATTACAAAAAGAACTAGCCACTAACAACAGTGTCTACTTTTATCTTCAAACAACAGATGGTGTTAATCTGGAGCTTTGCATTCCTAAAAGTGCTGGAATCATAAAACTACTTGCTTCCAGCAGGACCCTGAAACACAATGTATTGCTGGGGAAAACAGTCAAAATGAGTGATCAGAGCAAAATATGCCTGCTGTCAAACAGATTTTACGTGAAATTTTTATCTTTGCACAGGACAAGATGTCACCCAGATGACGTTTGTGGGTCTCATTCTGTTTTCTGACATTGTTTAGTCACAATGGCTAAATTGGGAGTGGTTTGTGGGTCTCCCAAATCTGGAGTAGCTTCTAGTGACTGATACACTTCATGACAGGATAAGACTTAAAAGATCACAGTTGTGTTTGCATGCCAGTTTTGCACTGGAATAAACAGGCAGCCCTCCGCAAGTAGGTCACATTTCAGCAGAGTTACTTCAGATTTACTTCACTGTTAGCAAGATCAGAATCAGTGACTGCCTGGGATGAAAAGTTAAGGTGACACTGAGGCAATTTCTTTTGTAATTCATGTGGGGAAAGCTAAAATAAATAACACGAAAAGCCCCCACATTATTAGCTAGTGTGTTTGAAAGAATCCTGCCGTTGTGTTTTATCTTTTCTTAACTGCAAGCCAGAACATTTAAGATTTAATTATTTAGAGAAAGGGGGAGGGGAAGTGTGCCTTTTGAAGAAAGTTCCACAGGTTTCCAAACACTTCAACATTTCATCATGGCAATCAGCCAGATGCCAAACAAAATGCGGCTTTCCACCAGGGATCTGACAGGTGGCCTTTCCAAAGTTTACACACTGAAGTGAGAGCTGATGTTCTGCTGCTTATTTTTCTGCCTTTTAAGTTATTCCTTTATTGAAGCCAGACTGCAGACATCTTTACATGCAACAAAAGATACGATCTTTCCCCGAATATTTGGGGATTTTAGTATGCTTTTATATTCCCCATATCTGCTCGGGGGATTATTATTCACACGTTCAAATGAAGAAATGTTGGGCTGGCAAGAAGGAAAAACACATACGTATGCAGGCAAAAGATAAGCTATTTGAAGCTTCACTGATAACACAGAGCCAGATACTACTGAGGTACAACAGGGAAAAATCCCATCTTTCCCTCGAGGTGTTTCCCCTGTCTCTAGCTGTGAAGGCTGGCACCCCAGCCTCACTCATCCCCTGGCTTACTCTCTGGAGTATCTCCACCCAGCTCCATCTGCCTGGGGCTCTCCACCTGCCACCGCACCAAAGAGGCGCCTTCAGGGAGACACAAATGCAGTCTGTGGCTGCACAGAACTTCCCTTTATCACGTCTTTGTTGTCTCAGGGTTTTCAAATGTCTCCTCAGAATTTTGAATGCTCCTGAAAATTCTCTAAATTGACAAAATATCAGGGGAGACAAAGTGCAGGGTTGAAATGGAAGTATGATAGCTCTAGGTTGTATATCTCACTTTCCTTGCTTCCTTCAGGTATGGTGTCCCTCAAAGCAAGGTCCAGATGAAGAGGTAAGAGAAACTAAAAATTCTTCTGTAGAAACAAATTTCTTGAAGAAACAGCAACCACAACTGATGCCATGGAATTGCTTATGATGAATAGCAAGGTTAATGAGGCTCATGTCTGATTCAGTTGAACTCAGTTCTGGGACCAGATTCTCATAGCTCACTGGAGAAAACTTGGAGTGTGCCCTTGCTCTCTTATATCCCATTTGACCATCATGAAACCAAAGGAGAGATGTGTATTAGAAAATAAAGTATGTAACCAAAATTATTAGCATTTAAGAGAAAGATTCTGGCAAAGAAATGCCTAAGTCCTGACCAAAAGTTTAGCTTACTGTCAGCAAGAAGCAGCAGGGAATATTTCCTCCTGTTGTGTTCATGTTGCAATATTGCACTTTACCAGAGCTTTTGAGCACTTTCTGAAAGCTTCCCATGTGACTAAGATTTGGCATGTATCATCTGTTTTTTCACCATTCCTCAGGGAAGACAGGCATGAGCAGTGAAGTTCATTGGGTTGTATTATTTTTGAGGGGTTACTTTAAATTGTGGTTATGTATGTTGATGCATATCTATACTACAGAAGACAAGGCTGAAAAAGTCACTTTGCACTTGCAGCAGGCAGACAGTTCTAAGTCTGTGTAGGACCTCAGTTCCTGGAGGCATTTATTCCACTGGCTGAAACCAGCACACATAACCTTTAGTTTTATGGAAAAGAGTCCTCTTCTGCCAAATGGGCAAGGTTGTAGCCCATAGCACTTCTCTTATATACAAGAATGTGTGTGTGTGTATATGATAGAAGTCTAGACATCAGACAGAAGTCATTGAAAGTTATGTCTGTGTTGGAGTTGTTTTACTATGCCAGAATGCTGTAAAGGGACCTTTCTAATTAAACAAATAAAAACCAAAATATATGAGCAAGTATGCCAATCAACAAATTTACTATATGCTATAAGTATTTTGTGCAGAGACAGATCACAGAACAAAGTTCTCTGTCCTTTGTACAGGGGAAATGAAAATATGGTACAATCATGCTGACTGTCCTTAGTCATAATCCTCATGTTTTGACCAGCTCTTCTCATCCAGCCCTTTGTTTTCCAAAAATCAGAGAAGGGCACCAATGAACCTATCTGCAGATTTAAGAAAGGGGAAGTACACTTCAGCATCACATTTTTGTTTAAGATCTCTGTTTCCATCCATTCATGACAATAGCAAAACAACCAAGGGTTTCAGTCATGCAGTTCAAGCATGTTGCAAAATAAGCATAAAATTATTTACAATTGCTAGCAACATTCCACAATACTTAGAGCAGGCACAGAAATGCTTGAACTCCTCTGTGAGTAGTAAATAAGCCCATATGGTCTTGTCATCTCTCCTCCCACTCCACACCCTAAAGAACACCAAAAAAAAAAAAAAAGAGAGAGAGAGAAGAAGAATAAAAGTAACTAAACAAAACAGGCAATTCCTTAGGAATTCTGTTGTATTCAAAATGCCTTTGAAATTATCCAGCAACTAAACCACAGGCTCCCTCATCCTTTTGGTCTCACAAAACAACTACAGAGCATCTTCTGTGCTTAGATGCAGTAATTACAGACAACATGCACAAAGAAAAGCAAATAGAATAATTTCAATTGCCAGAGCCAAATATGCAATTGTGCATCTATAAAGGTAATTACAAACCAAAAGATCAGTCATGGTTCTGGTTTCTTCAAATTACTGTTTTGCCCTGAAGAAAAACAATTATCACGTAAGTAATCCTAATAATTTTAACATTTGTTTTGCATATCAGCATAAAATCTGAATTACTAACTTTTTTTTTTTTTAAGTGTGTAGTAGCCAAACATTGTATCTCTAACTTCTAATTCAGGAAAGCCTTGGTCCAAAAAGGCAGTGATGGCAATGGAAAGACTCCATATAACTTTTCTAATTCAGAAAAGAAGTGCTGCTTCAGATATTTTTTCACTCTTCTTATCTATTTTTAAGTCACTTATCTCTCTTGCCAAAAGCCATTGTAAATATAAGGAGCACAAAGCTGAGAGACTCCAAAGACAGGTATATATCAGAAGCTGATGTATTGTACTGTTGCGTTTCAGCTTTTCTGTTGATATATAGGAAATTTCTTTACTTTTTGGTATTCATGGTTAAGCACCTGGTCAATAGTTTTGTATACAATAGCCAAACACCCTGAGTACCTCCCCAACCCTTGACCCAAGTCATTGGGGATGGCATCTAGTTACTGCTTTCGGTGTGGGTTGACCCTGCAGAGGATCCAAGTTTGTGTAGAGAAAAGCACATGCCCTACTGCATAAGTATTTGAGCAAAATACCTCAGAGGAAACCAGCCTACTGCCATCTATAGACCTTGATGAAGAATCTCATTAAAGAAATCAAAAACACTAATGAAACGCCTGTGTGTCAATGTGATATTTGGAGTACATTTGGCCTTTGGAAGCATTCACCATACATTCCACACCTCTCTAAACCTATGATGTCTTGTCCAGGGGAGAAGGAACCACAAATGAAAGCAGACCTGGCTGCTTTCAGGAGCATTAGCTCTCAGGAGTCAGATCGCAGCTGAAAACCAGAAACAGAAATTAGTGTTATAACATCAGTGGGAGTGATCTTGATGAAACCTTGAAAGGTGGCCTCATTTCAGGGGCAGTGAGGGGAGATCAGGTCAGGCTTTTCTGCTTTTTTCCCTGTGGACAAGCCAATCTCCATAGTAAACTCAGCTCACACATTCTGTCAAGGATGAGCTGTTGAGCCAATGAAGGAGTAGGCCAGACTCATGCTTGATGCCTCGTTTGGGCTCAGCTCAGCATCCACTTGTAGATCCAGGCCAAGAGAACCAAACCCAGCAGGGATATTTTGGCACCTTCTCCTGGCGGCCACAGTGATCTTGCATATCTATTATGTGTTTTCATTTTTTTTCATACTTTACATATTTAGTCAGCCTTGTTGGCCGATGTCTGATTTTTGGCTTGTTTCACTATGGCTTGGCTGTACCTTTGATCACTTGGCTTGCCCAAGTCTAGTATCACTTGATTTGTAAAGCTACTACAGTTTCTTGACTGGACAGTTATAGACTGGAATCCATTTATGAAAGTTTTAGGTTAGCATTTCATGCCACATATTAACTATTTTTTTCATTCATTGATTCATTCATTCATTCATCTAGCTTGCTGAATACAGAGCGGCAGCATATACATAAATTTGGGAAGAAGACTGAGGATGAAGACTATGATCTGTAAAGGTCATGAACCCTCCTCAGAACAACAGTACCGTTAGCAACTCCGCACAGTATTTTTAAGGTGACATATATTATCTCATTTTATGATATATATTTTCCTTTCCTCTATAATTGTTAACCTCTCTTTCCAAAGGACACACTCATACTGTCTTTCCCTGCCTTAGCTGTAGGCAACAGCTTTTACCTGAGAGAAAGTTCTCAACAGGTCTAGCAATGCAAAGGACTTTGCATAGCATCTGCATTTCACCCTGTCTCTAGCAAAGAGAAGCTACCAAGTACTGAGGCACTTTCCAGCCCCCTGGTTCCCACCACCATTGTCAGAAGTCTGCATGACACAGCAGTACTCACAAGATCTGCGAAGGACAGCATGCAGTCACAGAGGCAGGTAAGGTTCCTGGCCTGGGGGACCTGCACATTAGAAAGGATCACTTCTTATTTCTACCTCCTCTCTCCTTTCTCAAAACACTTCTGTTTCACCTTCTTATTTCTGCCCTCATATTCCCCGTTCTCATGGCCGGCTTCCAGCTCTGCCTTCTTCATCTGCACTTCCTCTCTTCTCTGTGGTCATTGCCACTTTTCTCCTTCCCTCCCTGCCTGGTCCTAATCCCCTCAAGAACATGGAGGAGGGGAGAGGAGTAGCGTGAAGGCACCTGTGAAGATTTTCAAGCCACAACATTGGGCTGCTTGCCAGCTCACAAGAGGTGCACCTTGTAAAATGTTATGCATTGGTGCACAATAGGTCAAGTAAGAAGAAGAGTTCTCACAAAGGATCACATTAATGATACTTGAAAGGACCAGTGCTTTCTCCTGTTCTGTTATGTGCCCTACGGTGAAATCTTTCTCAACCGAAAAAGTGCAGGAGCAGCACAAGTGTGAATGCCTAGTCCCTCACTGCCCCCAAAGTGTTTCAAAGCCTCTTCAGGACCATTGTCATGTTAGCAAATGCAAGCACATGCCACGGGCATGTTCCACAGGCCAGGCTGCCTCTCGTGATTTCCTCCATGTGAATTTGGGGATTGAGCAGAGGCTACTTTAACTTGACACTCTTGTTTCAGCCCCAAGCAAGCAGACAATTCCTGAGGCAGCTGCAGGGAGTAGTTGGCTTGTGAGCAGTCACCCGCAAAGCCCTGGCTGCTAATAAGTCACTGAGTCAGGGAGGGCTTTCGGCAGCAGCAAACAGGCTGTGGGGCATTGCAGGAGTAGTCTCTGTCCCAGGAAAATGACTGCATGGCTTATTCTTTCAAATGGTAAGTGAGATGTGGTCACAGGCAGAATGAAACCAAGAGAAAAAGCCCGACAAATAGCCTAGTGGCTTGTGAGAGAGCTGAGTCTAGAGAAGATCTCTTCTGCCTCATGCAGTTGGGAAGACCCACCATAAGAGAAGCTTCACTGCCCGTCTTCCTCTGGGGCTGGGGCTTGATCTGGACTACCCTGGAGAAACAGCAGGCAACATGTAGCAGAAACTCCTCAGCTCTGCTCCCACAGCAGTGTGGCTTTGCTCTAGCCTCAATTCAAGACCCAGCAGGAAAAGCCACTCTGTAGCTCATAGTGGGCAAATGTTTTCATTATCGGGGCCAGATGCTGGTTTAGGTTATGGGCGGAATTACATGAATGACATCCCTTTCTTCCCTAGGACTTTCATGGTGGTTTTAACACACGTGGGCACACCAGAAGCTGTTTAATATGTGCAGGGTTTAACAGAAACTAGTTGCCTTCTGCTCCCTACTTGAGGTCACACTTCATCATCCCACAGACTGCACTCACCCAGCTCTTCACTGTCCTATGGGCACTTCCTATATTCAGTGTACGATTGTGAAGGAGCTTTCCCCTCCAGTCTTACACAATTCCTCTTGAGGTACACCAGTGGCAAAATTACAAGAGGGAGCTTGAGGGGCACGTTGTCATTTGTGCCACAGCCAAGGAGTGAGCCCCATTCCAACAAGCGAGTACACAGGAGGAGGCAGTGCCTTTTCTTCATTGTGCTCTGCAACTCAGTAGAGATTTGGAGGTGAGAATAGGATTGCAAGGTGTAAGATGATTTACAAATGGAATTTGATAGTATTCCTGATGCCTGTGTTAATATGTAATGTTATTCCTTCAAGATGTGTGGTCATAACTGGGAATTACTGAGTGGAGCTCGGGGCTTAGAAGATTAAATTTGTATTTGCAGCCTTTTATTTTTGGAGCATTTTTTTTTTTAAATGACTGTTCCATTCTGCCAGCAGCCTTTTTGCCTACTGTGCTGATCAAAGCCCTCAGCTGTGCCATAATCAGAATGACAATAACAGATCTGTTTGAAACCATCCAAGTGTCGTCTTGTACAGAACAGCCGTGTTGAAAGATGTTTGTGTAAGGATGAAATACCTAAGAATGGCTACATTACTCTTCAACCACAGGTTGTATGTGTTGCCTTGCATGTAAAATCTCTGCCTAGAAAAAGAGGTATTAGGCCAACTGTGCCTCCACTCAAAAGCTGTCAACTGGAAAAACATAGCAGTTCATGTTCAAGACCACCAGCATTTCTCTGATGGTTGCTGAGCTCAGATGAGCAGTGCAATGGAAGGACTATTCAGATTAGTTCCAATGTTCAATAAATTATACTAATGTTCTTGTGTATGTCTCCCTGGCAATATAAGGATACGGAAAGTGGCCTCAGAAAAATAATGAGTTTTATTATGGAATATTAAAACCACCTCATTAAGTATATTGAAGTATATTTTCTTTCTGTAAAAGAAACTGACAGAATTCTGCAGGAAGGCTTGGCATGAGAAAGAGAGCAACAAAAAACAGTGCTATAATTAAAATTAATTTTGATGGATTATTACTATCATATGAACAATATAGGGAAATCTCTGGCCTTGGGAAGAAAGGTGGAGGAAACTACCTACCTTATTTTAAGGTAACAAGAGCTATTGAGTAGCACAGATGTCCTTAACAGTTGTGAACTTGTCCTGAACACTTGTGAACAGTGCATTAATGTTCTCAGAGACTGGACTTGCCCCTAGCACTTCTTATAGCAATTCAAGACACTTTAAAAAATAAACCCATTTACTGTCCCTTCCAGAGAATAAAAGACTTGAGCATTGTTTAATAATACTGAGCAGATCAACAGCAAAAATTCTCAACATAGAGAACCAACAC